TAAACATACCCTTAATTTGCTGAAAAGAAATTACATTTTGCTAGGTAATTAAATACCTCCTATAATCCCCTTAAGCAGTCTCTTACAATATTGGATTTAGACTTTCGAATCACATACAAGTCATTTTCCCGTTGCCTTCTAATTCTCTTCTTTTTCATAATTTTTTCTTCGGTTCTTCATACTTATTCAACATCAAGCCCCTGTCAACACGGAAAAATATATGAAACATTTGTGAATTGGCCGTAGTCATGGGAAAACAAAATTTTGTTAAGGACACGTAAATTACACGGAGTAGTAGTTATATTTGATTTGATTAATAATTTATCTATTTATAATTTTTAAATAATTAATCATAATATTTAAAAATATTAATTTATAAATTTAATATATTAATTAATAAATATTAAATATTTTTAAAAATAATAATAACAATTTATATAGTTCTAAAAGACCTAAATTTTGTAGCTAAATTTAGTAGCCTATTTGGTTACAAGATGCACTCCTAACTCTATAACCAAAATTCGACTCCCTTTTTTTTTTTTTTTCTGAACATGAAATTCGACTCCCTTTTTAAAATTGTAATATGTTTAAAAGATATTTTATGTAATTCTAACAAAATTTTATGTGGTCATAGTTACAGCTGGGGACCTGTTTCGATTGAATACGACGTGGGCTCATTGCGCGGCTGTCATTAACTCAAAGTGGAAAACGACATATCAAGAAATTATGAGCCTAGCTACAAAAAGTCTTTGATTCCCATTTGGAAAAATTAATTAATTATTCTCTACAGACAAACAGCAGAGCATGTTGAAACTCGGACGCGAAATTACAGCGTCAGTCAACCATAAAAAAAGGTTAATTGTAGAAGACAGGAAAGTTGAAAGAGGAGAAACAAAACATCTTTTTGTCCAACAAGCATACGGGCTACGGGGTCCGCAACCCCACCCTCCCCCAAAACCCGTACATTAAAGTTAGTGGCAATGGGCTTCTATTCCTCAAGCTTAATGGATAAGTTTGTTGTTGCGTGGCTGGTCTGAGAAGCTTAATAAACACACTATCGACATTATTCTTATCGAGAAAACGTGAACATGTCGGATAAGACAAGTATATTGCTTCTAAGGATTTATCACCTGCAGCCGTGTTCTTATCAACTTGTGCAATTGCACCCCCCTGTAACCTGTAAACCAAGTCTATGTGCCCGTTTGGCATGATTGAAATTTTTTTGAAAGAAAATTATTATAAAAAAATTATTTTTATAAATAAAAGTAAAATAAAAATAACGTGTTAATTTTATTAAAGTTTTAATAAAAAGTTTTTGTATAAACATTAATTTGATGCTTCTGCAATTTATAATAAAATAAATAAAAAATTAATTTATGAAAAATTAAAACATTTTTTTATAAATTGTAGTGTTTAATATAGTTGAAAATTTTGAAATTCAAAAAAAAATTTCACTAACTGTACCACACATAAACTACCTCATAGATGAGAGCCATTGTATATATACACACACTTATATAGTAATTACGAGTTATATTAAAAAAAATATTTTGTAATTCATTTTGTGTTTATTGCAAACATCTTAATCTTACAATCAGTAAAGTCATGTTAGTCATAAATTCACTAATTATGAGATTAAATTATTTATTATCTATACAAAATAAATTATGAAATACCAACCTTATTATATATTCTTATTAATTAATGTATCATGAATTACATAAGAGGGATAACTTCTCTTTTTAAAACTCCTACCTAGCCAGCCAGTCAGCCATCCATCTAATAATGGGTTTTTGCTTTCTTAATTAGTTGTTATTTAAGGGAAAGTACTTCCAAATCATGGATAGTAGTAAACAAACCGGAAATGTGACAGGATTTTCGTCTGGAAGTTCTTGTGTGAGGTGCTTCGCGGTATATTCGTGAGCCTAAAGAGAAAGGTATTCAATTACTTGCAACTTGTTGATTGAAAAAATAAAACATACAGTTATAACTAGAACTTGGTTTGGAAATAGTAGTAGTTTGTTTTCCCCAGTAATTACTATTATATTATATTATCTTCTTGTCAATTTATTGAAAATGATCACGCGGTTTATTTATTTTCTTAAAAAAATGCATTAAATTAAGTTATTATCCTGCCTTGATAACCATATTAAACTTGAATCCAAATTATAAAATTTGTAGTGCTTATTAATCTTTACATTTCCATTATGTATATATTACAGTACTTTTTTTACTCGACGAGGTTTTTGGCATGGTAAAAAAACAAATTGAGAAACAAATAATTTGTTGATTTAAGGTAAAAAAATTTAAAATTTTTTAAATAAAGTCTCAAGTTTAAATCATGTAAATAAAGAAACAGATACTAGAAGAATTTTCCTTATAAGATCTGACGTGATTATATTTCGAATGAATCAGAATTTAGTATGATTTTCGAATATCAAGAGATTGTATAAAAAAAAAAAAGAAGAAGACTAAGACCCTATAACATTGAGATTAATATTTGATATAAGAAACTATAATTAATTAACAAATCTGATATTTTTTATATAAATTTGAATGTTATTTATAGTAGTCAATGAATATAATTGAAATAAAGTCTCTCACTTAAATATATCAATAAATGGCAACACCACCTGAAATTACTTGGAAAATAATACTTTCCTCTAAATTCCTTTCTCATTCATCCTACAACTTGAATCATTAAGTAGTTCAAGATTATCCTTGATCTCACATTAAGACACGATCGAGATAGAGCTAGCTAGCTAAAAGAAGGAACCGATTCTTTGCTTGACATGAGAAGTCATCTACGCAAAGAAATGAATGCATAGAAAGAAGAAAAAGGGTAGGTGTAACATATTCGTTCGGTGGGACTAGTAATTATTTGTATATGCCACATATGCACATACATTACATCGTTTTTAATTTTCATAGCTTTAAGAACACCCCACGATTGACACTGCATCTAAACCCTGAATCCCCACCTCCCTCTCAAGAGGTAAAATGTCCGTCCAAGAATCCCTGGGTTGCCCCATCTCCACTCTATCATTCTCTTTTAAAAAGAAAAAAAAAATTAATAGAGAATTGTTTCTCAATAATGTTAGTTTGAATAAAAGACAAAAATATCTTTGATGGTATTCTCTGTTTCAAAATATTTTTTTCGAATCTTGAATTTGTTTTAAATTAATTTTTTTAAAGCATACAAGTATTTTGTTTACTTTAACCTTATTATTATTTATTTATTTTCATTAATTATTATATTACAAAAAAAAATCTTATTTTATCTTTTAACTTTTTTTATAAAAATAATATAAGTAAATACATAAATAGTCATTACATCATTACTTTGGAAAAAAATAAAAAAATAATTGCTATTATGGAACAAATAAAGTAAAAATATACAATAAATATACTTGAATTATATATATATAAAAAAAAAAACCCTCCTTTTTAGGGACTGTTTTATATAGTGATTAATTTGAAACTAATAATTAACGATTTTATCTAATCTACTCAATAAAAGTATTTAAATTATTAATAATAATAATCATCAATTATTAAATTAAATAAAACTATTAATTGTTAATTTCAAATCATTATACCTCATCCATTTATTTTTAGTAAACATAATTTAATTTTTTGACTTTCAAATATAAATTTCACATAAAAACTTGACAATTTATATAAATAACAATTGTAATTTTTTTTTCTTATATAAAGTTTTTATCCAATATTTTAATTTGATAAAAAAATTAATTATTATTTATTTAAAATTTTAAAATTTTAAAATTTTATCTAAGATTTATATTTAAAAGATAAAAAAAAATCAAATTCAATTTATTAAAAATATGTGGAGGGAATACTAAACAGCCACTAATTAATTAGGCCATTAGTAATGAACCTTGGCTTTTCACACATTAAAATTCAAACAAGAGAGACCGTATTTATTCTTTAATACATTCATTTATACATTAGCATTCCGAAACTTGACATACAAGCAACCATTTTATTTTAAATTCTAAAAATAATTATTTCCCGTTTTTTATTTTTCTTCCTTTATACCCTCCTTATTCTCCCCCTATCGTCCTCCTGAGTTTCTCTGCGCCAAAGACTAAGGGTAACTGTAGCATATTACATGCTACTTTGTATCAAATCTAGCAAGCTCAATCAAAAGGAAAAAGTGGAGGAATTAAATTCTTGGACCGATTTCGAAGTGGGTAACTGAAAAAATCCTCAGAGGAAGACAGGTTTTTTTTTTTTTTTTTTTTTTGCTTTTTATTTGTGGATTTTGATAAGTTTCTGTGTTGGTGGGAGAAGTGGAAGGAGGAGGTGGGGGAGATTCCGCTTTGGGATGGGAGTAAGAACAAAATAAGAGAGATGACATGGTGCAATATTGAATCCGAGGACAACAGAGCCATACAGTTAGTTACAGCAGCTGCAGCTGCCACAGTTAAAGAAACTGCGGATGAAATTGGAACGATTACTTGCCCTTCTTGTGGGTACAGTATACCCTACCAAGATCAGGTATTTTCGAAAACCCTTTTTTTTTTCTCTGAGGGTTTTTTTTCTCTTTTTAGAAAAAAGTTGGGTGATTGATGTTAGTTTATGGGTTTAGACTGGAATTATTCATGATCTGCCGGGGTTACCGGCGGGAGTGAAGTTTGATCCGACCGACCAAGAAATTCTGGAACACTTAGAGGCGAAGATAATGTCAGACATCCGGAAGCTTCATCCTTTAATTGATGAATTCATTCCAACACTGGAGGGGGAGAATGGGATTTGCTACACTCATCCAGAGAGGCTACCAGGTAATACATTAATTTTGTGTCAAATTCTACTAATTACCTTGATCTTAAAAGTTTTCAACTTCGTACCTTAAGATGAGTAGTGAAGAAATTTTAAAAGTGAAGGATTACCTTCTTGTACCTATAAGATGTGCCCAAAAAACCTTATCTTGACACTCCAAACCATAAAAAAGAAGAGTGACGCCAGTTTGTTTGTGTTATTTTGTTGGCTGCAAATTATATATGGTGTTGCTGTTTTTCTTATAGGTTTGAAACCAAGAAGTTAATTGATTAAGAAGAAATTAATGTGAAATGAGAAATTTAGGGATACAAGTTTGTTTTACATGCGTCCATTTTTCATTGTGTGTCAATTTGATGCTAATTTCATGCATAGATCTATCTTCACCCTTGCAAGCGTAATTAATCTTTTTCAGGAGTAAGCAAAGACGGTCAAATTCGACACTTTTTCCATCGACCTTCAAAAGCATACACAACCGGAACAAGAAAGAGAAGAAAAGTACACACAGATGAAGATGGAAGCGAAACAAGGTGGCACAAAACAGGCAAGACTAGAGCTGTCTTGGTTGGAGGGACCGTGAAGGGATTCAAGAAAATCCTTGTACTCTACACCAACTACGGACGCAAAAGAAAGCCAGAGAAAACTAACTGGGTGATGCACCAATATCATCTAGGCAATAATGAGGAGGAGAAAGATGGTGAATTGGTCGCCTCCAAAGTGTTCTACCAGACTCAACCGCGACAATGTGGCTCCAGCATTAAAGATTCAATCGGGAAGAAGTTGAAGGGTGGGCATGCAAGTAGTACTCATACAGGTGTTGTTGAGTATTATAATGGTAATACGTTTATTTCTTATGATACTCATCATAATAGGGAAAGTCCACCTCAGTTGATTCCGAATTTGGTTGTTCAAGGTGCTGGATCATCGTTAATTCGATTAGTCCATGATGCAAGCAAAGGGAAGCTTGAGAGGAAATAGGAAGAATGAAAAGAAGTATTTGTTGGGTTGTTGTTGTTGAAGCAGTTGTAGGGTAATGGTCGAAATATAATTATTGGTAAATTTGAAGGAAGATTTTGATGAGGAAAGAAGGATGATGAAGGACTTGGCGTTAATGCTGATCTCTAGCTCTTGGTAGTTTTCTTTTGAAGCTAAGGAATGTGGAAGAGAGCTGGAGCCCTAATTTTCTACCCATTTACATGATATTTTTCAATATTTCCAAACTTATTCTATGACATTTATTGTATAGTAGAATTGTACAAAAGGCATTAGCTCCTTTTAGTTGCTGATAAGTATTTTCATTCCAAAATTAATGATGGTATAAATTTTACTAACAATTTAAAATCTGAACTTAAACATCAAAAAATGTGATTGTTAGTGATATGTATGATTTAAAAACATATTCTATTAAAAGCTTGAATTTAAACTTTTAATAATTATGTAAACTTTAACTCAAATTTTTAAAAGAGTTATTTGTTTTTTTTAATACCTTAATTCTTAAGGAATTATGAGATTCCTGTGAGCTTTTCATTTCTTTTCATTTTAATTGGTACAAATTTGTCACCGCTTGCTTCTGGTCCAACAAGGATTTAAAACGTGTTATTTTACATTGAAAATTTATGTGATGATGAGGTTTATATGTATATATGTAAGCAAAACTGTGTATTACCATTATAAGTCAAATTTGAATTTTTAAAAGCCACGGAACTTAGTTCCGAGTGGTTATTAGGCTATATAAAGGAAGGACTTTTGCGCAATTGGTTTCCCATAAATAATCATAAGAGTTTCCAATTTTGTAAGGTGCACAAAAAATTCATTAATTAGGCAAAAATTGACCTCATTTAAGGACCCTTTCCACCAATAATTAAAGTTGCGTTGTTCAATCTTCTTTTTTTTTTTTTTTATAAATAATAACTCCATCAAATGTTCATTTTAATTTATTGATCACCTCGTTCGCGTTTTATTATACCCAAATTATTGTCAAAGCCCACATAATCCGTAAGTTTGTTTGCATCCTATGTTCTTAGTCCGTTGTTCCACGTGTAATAGATTATTATAAAAAAAAGTAATTTTTTTAATATTTTTTTATTTATTTTAAAATTTAAATTTTAAATTTTAAACTTTAAATTTTAAACTTTAAACTTTAAACCGTTAACTATTTAAAATAACCCCTACAAGGGGTTAAAAAACGATTTGACAAAGATACAATGTTTCTCTTGATGATGAAAGGGAAAATAAAGTATATGCAAAATGAATATAATATAATAGGATCATGATAGGTGCATTCCGGATCTCATATCAGGGTGTGTATCCCTTCACATAAAAAAAAAAAATTGAACCGGATGTTGGATTTTTTTTTTTTTTTATCTGGAGATGTGCACACCCAAGTGTGGGATCTGGGTGTGCACACATCATTATCCAATATAATATTCTTCATTAATACTTATTTTTGCATGAATAGGTTATATCTTTGACGTAGTGAAGAAGTTCTTGTAAATGTCAGGCCGATGTCTATATTAGGGGCTGCCCACAAAATGGTCCACCCTCGACGCACCTAGAAAGGTATTGGATTTACGCTTATGGTTGGAATGTTCTAGAAGATAAAGATTCGCTTCACGCAACCATTTGAAATATCAGTCTTGGTTTGACGGTATTGCGTTATGTTATAGGCTTTTAATTTTTTTTATTATTTAAAATTTTATAAAA